CCTTCCCCATACTCTTTTCTCTTCGGTTTCTCTCTTCTTTCTTCCTCCTTCCCTCTAACTCTTTCTAATCTCTTTTTTTCTATTCTTGTCTCTCTCCTCCCTTAATTCAATCCAACAACTTTTATTAAATGCCTACTACATTTCAGACACTATACTGGGCTCTGGGGTTACAAAAACAGAGTCCTTGACCTCAAGGCATTTATTTTGTAGCTGGAGTCAATGAATGTTACTTATACATAGGTAAGAAAATTAGGACTATGAAGAGAGAAAGAAGGCATTGACAACTAGGTAGATACTGAAAAGTTTACCAAGGTACAGTTTTCCAAATTCTGGAGGTTCTAAAAAGAAAGGTTCTTGCCTTTCAGGGGGTAGGCAAACCTATGGCTAAACTTGTAAGGTATTTTCTAATACAATTTCTGAATAAATAGTTCACTTTTTTCCCAGCAAAAACAAAGTTCAGAGTCAGCAAGAGTTATTTTTTAAGATGTAGGTATAAAAATTATGTCAAGGATTTTGTCAACAAACATCTGAACATTCCATAGTTTTATTGGAAGTTTAAGGTTTGTGTGCTGTTATAAAAATTGTGGTAACTGGGGCAGCTAGGGGGCGCAGTGGATAGAGCACCGGCCCTGGAGCGAGGGGGACCTGAGTTCAAACCCAGCCTCAGAACAAACACTTGACACTTACTAGCTGTGTGACCCTGGGCAAGTCACTGAACCCCAATTGCCTCACTAAAAAAATAAATAAATAAAAATTGTGGTAATGAATAACTTTATTTCAATAAAATAGACCTAAGAAAATTCAATTTATAAAAAGTGTTAGGAGAGTAACACAACATTCTTGTTTTTGTTTTTGTCTTTTTAATGGGGGTTACCACATAAGTTTTTAAACCACAGCCTGAGGCGGTGGTAACTGAACCGGACTTTGAAGGAAGTCATGAATTCTGAGGAGTGAAGATAAGGAGGGAGGACAGACATTGCAGGAAAGGGAGATGGTCTAGGAAATGCAAGGAAGCAGGCTGTGGCGTGTTGAGTTCTGTGAACAGCTACCTAGCAGTCCAGTTTTGCTGGATGAGGGCTGGAAAGTGAAATGAGGCTATAAAGGTTGATGAGAGACAGATTGTGAAGGACCTAGAATGTTATGATGGCTGAGGAATGTGTATTTTATCGTAGAGGCAATAGGGAGCCATGGAAGATTTTTGAGTAGGCAAATGACATGTCAGATGATCTTTTTTTTTTTTAAAGGCAGTTGGGGTTAAGTGACTTGCCCAGGGTCACACAGCCAGTAAGTGTCAAGTGTCTGGTCTGAGGTCGAATTTGAACTCAGGGCCTCCTGACTTCAGGGCTGGTGCTCTGTCCACTGCGCCACCTAGCTGCCCCCAGATGATCTTAGAAAGACTATTTTAGTAGATGTGTGTGTATCTGTATTTATGTTTTGTTTGTAAATAGTTGTTTGCACATTGTCTCCCCTATTAAACTGTGAGCTCCTTAAAAGCAAGAAGTGTCTTTTGCCTTTCTTTGTAGCTCCAGCACTTAACACAGTCCTTGGCACATAGGAGGTGCTTAATAAATGTTTATTGACTAACTTGGAGTAAAGGCCACATGTGGCCTTGAGGCCTCAGGTTCCCCACCCCTGGACTAACTGGTTAACAGAGGGATGGGTCAGATTAGGCAGAGACTTGAGGCAGGGAGGACAGTTATAATAGTCCAGGTGAGAAATGATGAGAACCTGAACTAGGTTGGTGGCAGTGTCAGTAAAGAGAAAGGGATGGATGTTGTGAAAATAGATGACCCAGTCTCCCTGGCCATCCTTTCCAGTACTGACTGTACCTACACTCATTATCCATGACTTCAAAGTGGTGGAGTTAGAATACTCCTTTCCCCTTCCAGGTTCTTCCCCTATCTCTGCAACCCAGTAACCTCTCTTTGTTTGAGGTCTATGTTACTCATATCTACCTCCAATCAAAATCCTGGTGGCTGTTATCAACAGCCCCCCAAGTTACTCCTCTTCCTTCTTCAATGAGTACCATACCTGGCTCACAATTTTCTCTCTTCCTCATCTCCTGTCCTCATACTAGGAGACTTCAACAACATTTGACTCTCCCTCAAACTCCCTAACTACTCAGTTCCTCAAACCTACTCACTCTCCATGAGCTGCTCATCTACCCCACCTCAGCCATACACAAAGACAATCATATCTTGATCTTACCATCACCCACAAACGTACCACCTTCATCTTCAAGAATTCCAAAATCTGCTTAGCCTCACACAACCTATTGGCTTTTTACCTCTCCCTCTCCCTTCCCTTGTAAAACCCTACTATTTGTGCATACCATGACTTCCAGTCCCTTGACTCCTCAATTCTCTCCCAGACCATCTCTCCTGTACTAGCCACTCTCTCTTCCTCTCCCTATCTTGACCTTTTGGTGAACCAAGTCAACTCTACACTTTCCTCCATTCTTGAATCCCTAGCCCCTGTATCATATCACCAATTATGCCCCGCCTTGGCCCTGGATCACTTCTGACATTTGCTGCCTTCACTCCTACACACATGCTGCTGAAGGATGAAAAAAATCATGCAACCATTCCAACTGGATCCACTACAAGTTATATAACACAACATCAGCTGGACCCTAACAGCTATTGGGCAATCTTACTCTATCTCCCTTATCACCATCCCACTCTCCACAGTGGCTCTTCTAAATCTCTTCACCCCTTCTCAAACTTCCCAAGATTTCCCCTCCCTCTACCATCTATCTCAGCTGAGAAACTTGCCTCATATTTTGCAGGAAAACAATTGTGGCCATTTGTGCTTAGCTCTACCCCTTCCTTATCTCATCTCACTCATATGCCTTCTGCAGCACTACTTCCTCCTTCACGCCTGTCTCACATGATGAAGTGGCCTCACAAGTTACCTAAGGCTAACCCCTCTTCTTGTTCAAGTGATTCCATTCTGTCCTGTCTCTAGATTGTCTCCTTTGTCATTCCATTCTATCACTTATTTTCAGTGCCTCCCTGTCTTTTGGTTAATTCCATTCCCTACTGTCTACAAACATGTCTATATCTTCCCCATACTGAAAAAAAAAACAACCCAAAACCAAACACCTCACTTGATCCTTCCATCCATGCTATCATCTTCTACCTCTTTTGCCCTTGGTGGCTAAACTCCTCAAAAATACCATCTACAAAAGGCGCTTCCACTTTCTCTACTCTTGTTCTCTTCTTAACCCTTTATAATCCAGCTTGTAAATGTTATCTTTCCAGTGAAACTGCTCTTTCTAAAGTTACCAATAATCTCTTAGTTGCCAAATCCAGTGGCCTTTTCTTTATCCTCATTCTCCTGGACCTCTCTGCAGCCTTTGACACTACCGATCACTCTCTCTTCCTTGATATTCTCTTCTCTCTAGGTTTTCAGGACACCACTCTCTCCTGGTCTCCTACAACCTATCTCACTACTCCTCAGTCTCTTTTGCTGCATCCTCCTCCAGATCATGCCTTCTAACTGTAGGTGTCCCTCAGGGTTCTGTCATGGACCCTCTTCTCCTCTTCCTCTATACTACTTCACTTGGTGATCTCATCAGCTTCCATGGATTTAGTTACCATGTCTATGCTGATGATTCTCAAATCTACCTTTCCTGCCCCAATCTCTCTACTGACTTCCAATCTCGAATCTCCAACTGCCTATTAGACATCTCAAACTGAATGTCCAGCAGACATCGTAAACTAAATGTGTCCAAAACAGAATTCGTTATCTTTTCCCCAAACTATTCCCCTTTCTACCTTCCCTGTTACTATAGAGGCCAACATCCTCCTCCCAGGCCTTCAAGCTTGAAACCTAGGAGTTATTAATTTCACTTCTGCAACATCTCTCTTCTTTCTTCTGACACTACTGCCACCACTCTGGTACAGGCTTTCATCACCTCACACCTTGATTATTGCAATAGCGTGCTGTTGGGTCTGGCTGCCTTGTCTCACCCCACTCCAATACACCCTCCAGCCACCAAAGTGACTTTCCTAAAGCTCAGGTCTGACCAAGTCTATCCCCTACTCAATAAATTCCAATGACTTCCTATTGCCTCAAATCCTTCATAACGTAGCCCCCTCCTACTTTTCCAGTCTTTTTATTCCTTACTTCCTGACACTTTTTCTTCGGTCCAGTGTCACCTTCCTCCTGGCTGTAGCTGGAACAAGACACTCCATCCCTCCACTCTAGGCATTCCCTCTGGCTGCCCCCCCATACCTGGAATGTTCTTCCTTCTCCTCTCCCAGCTACTGATCTCCCTGGTTTCCTTTAAGTCCTAAATAAAATCCCATCTTTGACTGGACGCTCTTCTCAACCTCTATTTGTTTTACTCTATTAATTATTTCCCATTTATCCCGTATATAGCTTGCTTTGTAAATATTTATTTGCACATTGTCTCCCCATTAGATTGTAAGTAGGTTTCCTGAGGACAGAGGCTGTTCTTTGCTTCCTTTTGAATCCCCAGGGCTTAGCACAGCGTCTGACACCTTGTAGGCGGTTAAGGAATATTTATTGATTAATTGAATCAAGATTTGTCAACTAATTGTTTGGATGCTGGGAGAGAAACAGAGTAGGCGACAATGACAGCTGTCAACCTGGGTGATTGGAAAGATAGGAGCCTTCTGGATTGATACAGGCAAGTTAGGGTGGGTTTGGTGAGAAATTAGAATTTAAGGCAGGAGTCAGTGGACTGCCTTTTTTTTAGCTTTTATTTGTATACCCCGCTGGGCACAGTGCCAGGCACAGGGTAAGCGCTTGATGAATGCACATTGCTGGGAAAGGGAATGATTCCAGCCCAAACCGCCGGGTCCGAGATGCCTCCAGGTGGGCATGTCCAGCCCTAAATTAAGACCAGGGTACGTTCTCTAGGGGAGGAAATCTGCAGGACGCTTAACCGCCCTCTTCCTTCCCTCCGCCCCGCCCCCGTCCCGCTCCCCGGAGCGGATTGGCTGCTCCGACGCTCGGCGCGGTGTCGTCACTGCTGTGCGCCCGCAGGAGGTCTGTTCTGGCGGTCCGGACTAGCTCTGGCGGCTTTCCCCTGCGCTAGGGCAAGGTCTCCGCACTTTATTCCATCCCCGCGATGGACGAGCCCGGTGAAGGGTCGTCCCCGGAGAAGGCAGGAAGGGACTCCGCGTCAGACGAGGTGCCGCTCTTTGCCGCTGCCGCGACCCCTGGGCCCGTTCTGGGAGCTGCCCAGCCCCCCAACGCGGCCCCGGAGGCAGCGGACGGGGAGGGGAATGGGGCCTCCACGGAGGCTGCGGCCGAAGACGCCGAGGTGAGCCTCCCCGCGGGCCTCGCACCTCGCCCTGACCCCGCTTCGGCCCCCTGGAGAGCTCCCCCAGCCCGCCCCCCATCTCGTCGGTGGATCGAGGGCTGCGGACCCGAGTGCATTGGGGTTTGGAGCCAGGGATGGGGAGGAGAGCCCTTAGCGAGGCTGGAAGAGAGTCGAGGTGGTGCTCTGCTTGCACCCAGGAGGCAAAATTAGAGCAGTGGGGTGGATGTTAAACGGGGAGTTGGCGAATGGCCTCGAATAAGAATTAACATTTTCTTCATTTCTTCTTTGGTTTTATTCCTGACTAAAGACAGACTCTATGTTTTTGCTGTCTTGACATTTCTATACTTGCTCTCCTCTTTTCCATCTAAGACACATCATTTTCTCATTCACTGAAAGGGCCGTAGGCTTGATTTGGGTTCAAATCCTTGTACATAGACATACACATATTATAATAAAAATATTAAAATAAATTTATTTTTAAATTTGTATTGCTATCATTTGCTTTTTCCACATATTGCTCTCCTTTTCCCCCTCCCTTGAGAGCCGTAACTCTATAGCTGTGTAACCCGTGGACGAGTCACTTGACCTCTCTCAGCCTGATTTACTTCATCTGTTAAATGGAAATACTTTCACCACCTACAGCACTATTTCTTAAAGAAGAAACTACTTTGTAAATCCTAAGAGCAAACTTGTTATGGATATATGTGCTTTGAGTGAATCTTTGTAAGTCTTTTCTGTGTATAAAAACTCACGGATGGGTGATTTCATTCATTCACTCAACAAGCACTTACTGCTCACCTACAATCTGCTAGACTAGGTATTGAACACTAAGGATACAGACAAAAACAAAACAGTCCTTGCCCTCAAAGAGCTTACATTCTGTGGAGGGAAGAGAAATACATGTTCATGGAAAAATAAAGGCTGAGTGAGTAGGAAGAAGCTAACAACTGAAATGCCTTTTGAAAGCAGATGGCACTTGAGCTGATCCTTGAAAGCTCCAGTTGCAAGAGGCAGAGGTGAGGAGGAAGAATACACGAAGGGGGAGTAAAGGGAAGTCCATTTGGAAAGCTAGGCCGGGGCCAGATTACAAAGGGCTTTGAAAGTCAGGTGCCTTCACAACCTTGTCTTCTGCATGGATCCCCTCAGTGTACACTTGAGCTAATACAGCTGCATTTCTCCTTTCATTCTCCTTAGTTAGAACCTCTTCTATAAAGCATATTCAGGACTATGATATTAAGAATCTGAATGAGGTAGCTCCATTTTCCTTGATGGTGAAAAGAGTTCATTATATAAATCTTTGCAAGTCTTTTCCATCTACTTGCTCTTCAGTTTCATCCTTAAATGCCCTGGAATAACTCATCTTATAATTGAGTCTCTTTTAAAACAGGATTTACCCTTCCTGCTTTCCTTTTCTATGGAGTGATACTGTTTATAATCTTCCATTTCCTTGCACCTTGAGATTTTACAAATGAATTTATAATCTAAACGGCAATCTAAACCCCCAAGGTCACATCTATACCATGTTGAGGCATTACTGAGTGTCCACCACATACAAAGGACCTTGAGAGGCACTGCAATGTATACAAAGATAATTCAAAGTCACCACACTCAAGAAGCTTATATCCTATTAGCCTGCTTAGGATATGGGGGATAAGCATAAGAGATAGAAATAATACAAATACACAAATCACAAGGTATAGATGTTTGAGGCTTCAGACAAGGGTGTGATTACATCCATTTGGTGATCTCATAAAAGGTTTCATGAAAGAAATGGCATTTGAAGTAGATATAAAACAATAGAATTTTGAAAGGCTGATGCAGGATATAAGCATTTCAGAAAAGGGAAAGTTGAGATAAGATGGTAGGAAAGCTAAGGGTGGTAAGAATAGACCAAATTGGTAGAAATATATTATATATAACAGAATCAGTAGGAAGTAAGGCTAGAAAGGTGGGTGAGAAGCCAGAGCAAGAAGGGCTTAATTGGCAGACTGAATAATTGGCTGAAACGACACTGGTGACACATAATGAGCTTCCAATACACTAAAACCGACAGATTGTTTTTTTCAAACTACTCTAAATAATCCTCACCAGCCTTACTTGAGAAGTTGATTTCCTTAACCCAATGTAAGACTTGACATTTCCTTATTAAGTTTGGCCCACTGCCCTACCTTGTCAAGATGTTTTTAATACTGATTCTGTCATTTAGCATGTTAGCTTCCTCCCCCCACCCCTTTTGGATTATAAGAAAATTTATGATCTTGATATTTGTGCCTTTAACATCTTTATCAAGAGCTTATATGAACAGTACAGAATCAAGCACATATCTTTGGAGCATTCTACTGGAGACCTACTGTCAAGTTGACATTGAATTATTAAGAACTACTCTTTGAGTCTAACTGTTCAACCAGTGCCAAGTCTATCTCACTGTTTTCATCTAGTCCACATCTCTCCTCCATGTGAATGAGATACTTTTTAAGATCTTTGCTGAAATCTAGGTTACACTTTATAGCTTCCTCATATCTACTAGTTCAGTGACCCCTATCATTCCGAGGTTTTAAGCCTGGGTGACTAGGTGATACAGGCTTACCCCTACATGGTACCCTGACCTACTTTCTATTAATACGTTACAATTTATTAAATACTTAATACCAAACCCTCATGCAATCTCATTCTCCATTGGTAATCATACCTATGAAATAAGCTTACCCTTTTAGTATTCATCTAACCCCATTTTTTGAGACACTATGTCTCAGAAACTTTAGCAAGGGAGCTGGTAAGTTGGGGAAGAGAAAAAAATAAATTTGATTTTGAGTAACATCCAGCCAAGGTGTTAAATAGGCAGTTGGGAATATATTATTAGAAATTAAAGAGTTCCTAAAACAATCATATCTGAATCACAAGCAGGAACTATAGGCTATTCAGAATTGGTTGCCTACTCATTTATCTCCATCACTTACTTTTGAGGTCAGATTTAAAGCTGAAAGGAACATAAAGAGGTCAAATATTTAAGACCTTTCAAACATAAGAGTTGCCTGAAGCACTGAGATGTCACACATCCACTTGTCACAGGCAGGACTTGACCCTGGGTCTTTTTGACTCCAAAGCCATTCCTCTTCACTACCTGGATCACAACTATATTTTTTCAGGGAATGTAAGTATGATGTGGGTGGGGCAAGCTCAGTAGTCACAACCAAATGCTACTGGCTGAATTCATACTGAAGTGGCAAGGTCGATATACCAGATGTGCCTTTTACTCTCACACAACATGTAATTGGTTTCTGTGCCTGGAGTCATGGGACTTTCTCTACCTCATATTGGTCCTGGAGTATCTACAGGATTAATCCTGGAATTATGATACCCCATTCCTATTTCCCAGGACCACAGTTAGACATCTGAGACCTAAGGTAGCAGGGGGATCAAAAAAGTCCAGATTCACCTTGTATGCAACAAATTGGTAGTTCTGTATACCATGGTAGGCAGTTTTAAAACATAAGCCTGACTTTAAAGCCCTCTATGAAGGTTAAATTATTTGCTGCTTAAAAAATTATTAGTTTGCTGAGGGGTGGGTTGGAATGAAGGCTGAAATTTGATTGCTGCCTGTGGATTTTAATTATATCATTCCATTATCCACAGTAATACATGATTAAGAAATAAAACTGTATAATAGTTCGGATATAATGTAATATAACTTCTTCATATGTTAAACATTTCCCCTAAGAGACCATTAGCTCTTTGAGGGAAGCAACCTACTCAACACAACAGGTGCTCAATAAATGGTTTCTTCTTATTTTTTAATGATGCCATCAAATCCAGTCAGCCTGGAAAGCCAGCCAATTAAATAAGCTGGTTTCTTTAATTTGTCCTATCTGCTCAAGGGCCAGGAAGAATCAGATTTAACAGGAACTGGAAGGAAGGACTCATCATTACTTCCTCCTTCAGCCAAGAAGATGAAGATAGAAACTAAAGAGAGGAAAGAGAAAAACCACAAAGTAGATGAAGATGAAATTCAGAAGATGCAGTGAGTTACCTTCCCATGTCATCTTAAAGCTCAGATTTGTCCACAAAAAAAGTTTAATCCTGGTAACTTCTGTATTGGTTTAGGTACAATTCACAAAATTTAACTTTTACCATAAATCTAAAGTATTAAAAGATTAAAATGCCAAGAGGCAAAGTTGGCTTCTAGAAGCATTGTCCTTTGAAGGCATGTAGAGTACATCCTATAACTCTGGGACACATTGGTGGCCAGGCTAAAATCCATTTTCCTATTTCACTGCTGCTTCTCTTGAAGTGAGAAGTATGGTTCACTCTGATTTGATGCAAGCTCACTGGGACACAGAACTGTTTTCTGAATCTCCCACCTCATACTATTTTTCCATGTACATCAAAGGAACTGAACTATTTCTCTTATTCTTTTCTCAGAATCCTGGTTTCTTCCTTTTCTGAAGAACAGCTAAACCGCTATGAAATGTATCGTCGATCAGCATTCCCTAAAGCCGCTATTAAACGGGTAAGGATGAACCACTGGCCTTTACTGTCATCCCCTATTAGGGGATGAAGCCAGAGTGAGAGGTTAGCACTGAGAAGCAAAGATAAAAACCTAGATAATACAGGTGGAAAAACTACTTTTCCCTCAATTATGTGGGTAATAGCAGTTTTGTTTCTGATGATATTTCAGGTGATAAAAGCAGATAGTCATTAAAAGTGCTTTGTAAACCTTAGAGCTACCTGAGTTATCCTAATCACCAAACATACTGTCTTTTGAGTATGCTAAGTTCCAAAGACTTATTGATCATACATCATCTAATCTTAAAAATGCTTTGTTTTTCAAGCTGATCCAGTCTATTACTGGCACCTCAGTATCTCAGAATGTCGTCATTGCTATGTCAGGCATTTCTAAGGTATTCGTCGGGGAAGTAGTAGAAGAAGGTAAGGCCTGATAAACTAGGTGTTTAAACATTGGGTTAAATCCTTAATGCTTTTATTTTCAAGAAAAAATATTGAGGGACCATATGTGTTCATTTTTCACTTGCACTTTAAATACTAGTGAGCTCTCTAAGCAGTGTAGGTTCCCCTGTTTGCACTGTGTTGGGACAAAAGGGGAGCACTGCATATTCATGTAAGCATGGCCTCCATGTCTTCTAATTCTCTCCAGACCCTTATCTTAAGTGGCTAAAGGTGTGTAGGAAAACTCTGGCTCCTTAGGCCAGAGAAGTGAAACTGATGCTTTGATCCTTGTGCAGGGGGGCACACCTGTTGGAAGAAATGGCAACAGTGGTTACACACACATGCACACACACAGAGTAGTGAATCTTCATCAACTACCTCTAGATAAAATCTCTAGCAAGTGAAGTTACTCTCATAAATTGAGTCACTTTTAAATGGAGGTATGCTTTAAATAGCCATTTAGGATTAAATCTCCTACTGTGAGGTAAGAAGCAACATTCTGCTATAGAAACAAGCACCTCTTACCTGTTTCCATAGCTAGCTCAAGAGGTAAAGGAAAAGTTAGAGGGCTCAAAAGAAATCAGATTGTAAGTTAATATGTAGAAATGCTTTTCTCTTGGATTTTTTTCTAGCTATGGATGTGTGTGAGAAATGGGGAGAGCTGCCACCATTACAGCCTAAACACATGAGGGAAGCTGTTCGAAGACTGAAGTCAAAGGGGCAGATTCCTAACTCAAAGCACAAAAAAATCATCTTTCATTAGGTCTAGGAGCTTCTTAAGCTGTACTATTGAAAATGGAAGGACAGACTTCCATACTTTCTCCCATTGAGGCATTATACACTGTTGCTCAGATGTCCCAGTCCTTTAGGGACACTGTGATCGGACATCCGCCCCCAAATCTTCAAGCTCAAAGTTACCTGGTAGAGAAGTGCAGCCACTTTCAGATTTGTTTCGTATCTTTGTAGGACCATTTAGGTCAGGTTGTGATTGGTGATAACTCTTAATTGGCTAACTGAAAAGCAGAAGTGTCCTTATATATAGACCCCTTGTACAAAGCATACAAGAGTGCTGCTTTCCAATGGATAAAACTCTTCTAAGGATCAATCTTCTTGATTAATCTCAAGAGTACTTTATTTTGCAAGGTTCACATTGGAACCCTAAACTGCTACCCTCAGGGTTTCAGATCTGGTTTGAACTTGATAACAGGTTAGAAATTTCTAACTTGTATAATGTGACAGTTCAGTTTACAATGTTAGCAACTGATGGAATGACAGAACAGTTTTATTACTCTGTAAAAAATTAAACATTATCATGTGGTTTTAGGTGTATGATCATTAAACTGTTTTCTAACTTGGGACATATGTACTTTGACTTGGGTATTCAAAACTTGAAGTCCTCAGCAAGGATGATTGGGGTGTGGAAAAATGGTTCCTGTTCTCACCTTCCATAGTTTTCTGTCCAGGATATGGATAATTTTTCCTTAGCCTTCTCAATGTAAACATTTGAAAGTACTTTATCTGGCATTACTATTAATCTGATTCATCTCACATAGAAAGGATTCATAAATGAATTTGAAGCAGGATTAAAAGGCTGCTTTCATTTCCTCTCAGACAGACAGACAGACAGACCTGTAGCCAATGCTGTTCAGTAAGTTTAATTTACCATTTTTCCAGGTGGTTCACAGAACCAGTACAAGCATGGAAATATTAGATATTGCAACATTAAAATTCCTAATACTTTCTAGGATTCTGGTTCAGCAGATACATCCACACTGTTTCCTCAGACAGAGGAGAGTGAAGTGACTTTTTATGGACAGTGATCAGCAGTAATAAGGCCAACTGAAAACTTTGGGAATTCCCAGAAGTTGTTTCCTTTCTGTTGTGTATCATTGGGAGAAAGGGAAGGCATTGTTTTCAATACAATTCAAGCAGAATGGTTCTTAATTTTTCTTACTAAGGCAGAAGCTCTACCTATAAATATGAAAAGGAATTATTAGAAGAGATTTATCTGCTAGCCTGATTTTGAATATCTACTACTAAAACAAAGGGTTTTCCAAATCAGGTTCCCTCAGTCTACACATAAGATGCTTTAGTGGTTTTCACAAGGAAAAGATTCAAGACTACATTTAAGTCTTGATCAAAATTCAATAAATTAAACCAAATCAACTTTTATTGGGAATGTATAAAAACAGGAACCTCTGCTCCAACTATACTTATGGGCATTTCATAGGGCTGATAGGTCACAACTGACACACCACTGTCAATGGTGCCCGGTAGGGCTCACAGTTAGGGCTGCAGTGATTTCTAAGTAATTTGGAAAGAACACATTTATGTATTTGCCACTTAGCAAACAGTGTCACAGTGAAGAGACTTATGGAAGAGTTTAGCTTCCAAAATTAAAGGGCTTATTCTATGTCTCTTTTCAAAATCTAAAGGTCTTATGGAGCTTCAGCTGTTGCTGGAGTGTTAGTTGCTTCCCACTATCCATATAGTGGAAGAAGGGGAAATTATTCAGTAGATGACAGTGACTGCTACCCAAACCTGATTAATGGGATCAATCCTTGATGACTAATCGGAGAGCAGAAGAGGTAACTAGATGCCATGTTGAAGTTGCCTGAAAGTATAATGCCAATATCCAGGCAGGTCTTTCAGCAAACAGTGACAATACATTAACTGAAAAGTGATCAAGGCCTTTGTCTTTGGGGCTGTGACCACTGGGTAATGTGGCACAGCTTTTACGTTTCTTTATAAATGCAAAGAATCCCTGCATCACTTAACATTTCAAGTTGCCTTCTTTCCAATTCACAACATATTCAACCCCAGTTTTATCCAGTTTAAATAGATTACCTATAAGCACCTATAGGAGTGTCTAGCACCGGCATTCAAATTCCATATACCAAGACCATTCTTTATAGAGATATGTAAAAAGCAAGGCATACAGTGAGATCCGTGACAATTCCAGGGTCAAACTATGAGTCAGGAAAAGTTAGTCATATCATGCAAAGAATACACTCCTCTATTTGCCATAGGTCAGAATGACTGAACCCTAGCAAAGGCTGAGTTACAAAAGCATTCTGGTGTCCAATTCAACCTCTCAGGACATGGAAGCAGCAGTAACTACCACATTTGCACAGCATCTCACTGACTCTGGAGAAGGTCCCATGTTTTAGTCTCTATGTGCAGCAATGTAAACAAGAAGTCCGCATGACAGATTCAGATGGTACAACTTTAAGGACTTCATATTCAAATCGGTCATGAGAGTAGAATGTCCAGACATGTTGAAGGACAGCAGAGCTGCAGTTTGGACAAAGACAGAGCTGCTGAGGATTGTCTGCATTTGTCTTGTTCACAGCTTCTTCACCATTTCATGTACAGGAGGTCAAGCTACTCAAAGGCAGAGCCCTTCCAAGCCCAAGGAACCAGAGAAGAAGTGGACAGAGAGACATTGCAACTCTCCCCTCATCATTTTCAGCAGCACACCAAGCAGTGGACTACCGAATTTTCACATTTTCTTCATTAAGAAAAAGTCTTCTTTCCTCCCTTAACACAGGGCATTGGAGAAGCCATGGAAGACAGTGATTAGATGGTGTCATCCTAGTAAACCTAGAGGGAGATGATCTGTACTACCTTTCCCAAGGGAAAAATCCAAGACACAATGGCAGAAGCCGCCCAGTAGAAGGAAGCCAAAAAGCTCAAGGTCTTTGAATGCCACTTTGCCCTGCCTTTTACAGTTGTTCACAAAACTTCAACAAACCCTAGGAGTTGGCAGGATAGTTATTAAGGTGATAGCCCTAGTCATAATTTGGCACTTTTATTTATCCAGCTGTGGTCCATTGTCAATTTTTGCCAGATGACATCTATAGGAAACTTTCCCCCATTTTCTTTGTAGGGGAAGAAAAAAACACTTAGCTATGAGATATGTACTCCATCTAGTGAGCATGAGGTTTAACAACCTCATTTTCAAGTTTATGGTTCTTTTTTCAATCCCCTTAACATAAGAAATGCTCACTTGGTCAGACCAAAAGTCCATTCCACTTGGTCTGTTTCAAAATTACTACAAAGGATGGTTCTCTCAATGGAGAACATTGCCCATTGTGATGTATACCCCCAAAGCTCTAACTTCCTCCAATAAATGATTAGCAAGCTATCATATGTGAATTAATCTTAAGACCTATCTATATAAGCAACCTACTTATACTCTCTGCCTGTACCAGGCAGGACATATATATTCCCCCGATCCACAGTAACTTTAGAAAAATTTGGTGTGGAACCTTGCTAAACTTTTTTAAAGTCTAACTTAGCTACAAGTCAAGAAAAGACTGTTAACCTTTCCCCAGTGGGTAATGGATATAAAACTCTTAAATTATTCTATCTAGTATCGATTTTTACCAGCTTGCCTGGTTACAGTTAGCCAACTGATACACTTCCTGGGTCTGCACATCATGGAGGAAAAGCAAGTTCTTGTGTGGGAGAAGAGGCAATACATGGGCAAAAGGGTTTGTTCCCCCCCCAAAAAAAGTCACAATTACAAATGAAGCGAGGCTTGACCATGTTGGATATTTATACTGACGGCTAAAAAACACTATTCGCTTCCACCCTGGTAAATATTAAGAGACAGTTGCTGAGTCACACTCTCATCTACAGGGGGAATATATAAGAAAGGAGGGAGAAGGGAAGAACTGATGAGGGTTGGGACTGGAATTGTAGAGAAAGTCCAAGATCCTCAGAAGGTCAAGAGTACCAGGGCTCAAAACTAAGAATGCCACTCATCTGGATCCCACTTCTACCAGATCAGACCTTCAGCAGCTCTGGGTTTACCATTTTTGTTGTTATGAATTTTAAATAAACTGATATAGAAGGAAGAGACAATATTGGCATTACACCCCTTGTTTACTACTATTGCATTACCACAATGAGTTTGGTTTCTTCTTATAGCTAACAAATCTTCCTGAAAAATCTGATAGCAGTATATGCAAAGATGAAATATGCTAGCTCCTTTTCCAAGAATGGTAGGGAACTGTCCCTTTCTCTTACCATACCTAAGGTGTTATATCTGGATCCTCTTGAGCTCCATCCATCCCTCTGCACCCATCACCACGTTGTCCTACTCCCTATGGAGCTGCAACTTCCTCAGTTGGGGCTCAAGGCCAGGTTGGTTCAGTTTCGCTACAGGAAGCTCTGGGACATGTGATCTTTGGTGGCTCTTTCTGAGGATACTGGAAGGGGCAAGGTCTTCTCCCTTATACAAACTCATGTTAAGGAGGGAGCAAATATTTTTGCAAAGACACCAGGAGGTGAAATGGTCCTGCACACGGAAAGACTCCAGCCCATTGGGCAAGTGGAGCTTTAGACAGGTTATGAATGGCACTGGAACAGTGAGAACCACACATAAAGGTTCCTACACTCCTGGGGCTGGATGTAGCTGCCCTGTCTTTGTCTAGAACAGCTGGCAGAAATGAAAAATGCCCCAAAGGGCAGATTCAGGAATTCCTGTTTTCCCTCCAGTGTAATCAAACAGACACATTCCACATTAGATGGAGCTTTCTTCCTTCTGGTGCTGCTGCTGGTGTTATTTCCCGGGGGCAGAGGCAGCTGGTGTTACTGCTGTCAAAGCTGGAATAGAGGATTATACTTCCTGATTTCTTGTAGAAGCTTCTCTTTGTCATTATTAGCACAGGCTAATGCTTGCTTCATGGCTAAAAGTTCCTTCTGTAGGGTGGACAGCTCCTTCATCTGAGTAACAAGAAATCAAAGGTTATGGTATAGCAGAAAGAAGATTCAATTTGTAGTCATTGGGCCTGGATTCAAATTCTGGTTCTTCCATTTACTGACAACAGACAAGTCATTTAACTTCTTTGGCCTTCAGTTTCCTCAGCAGTAAAAGAAGGACATGGACTAGATGATCACTAAGGTACTTTCCAACTTTAAATTTACGATCTATGAACACTGTATTACTATCATTATTCCCTTCAACATTACCATACTTCATCCCAAGGAAATATTTAATTAGGATTTATATACCAAGATCTAAGCCTCCCAAAGACTATATATCAACACATCTGGGACAACTGTAATGTGTGATCAGCAGCCATTCATTTGAATGAATGTGACTATGTGCTACTTAATCCTATTTGAAGCTCATGCTACCAGATAAGAAGTGATCAAACTACAAAGCTGCAACAAAGCAACATGTACCAGCCTTCAGAGGGCTTCAATGCCTAGATTACATACACCTGTGAGTTTGTGGGGGCCACAGCCTGCCCAACCAGGTCTTTACCTGCTGTCCAAAAAGCATTCCTGTCGGTAATCCAACAACCTGTTCTTCTGAGTGTTGCTTTTTGTCATACTGAGGTCCTTCTGATGATGGCTTCTCCTGGGTAGCAGCTGGATAAAAAAAGCAATGGCATAGTGTCAAACTGTGACCTCTAAGGATTCCAGAGTCTTTACAATGAAAAAAAAAGGGAAGGGGGGGAGGACATACTCAAGAAGAAGCAAGATCTACTTACCTACTATGTGGAAGACACCATCATCATCCCGCTTCACCACAATATGCTCCAAAGCCAGAGTGACAGGGATAGGTCCTGGGGATGTGGGGTAAATTGGGGGGCTATCATCCTATAGAAGAGGAGAAACAACCTCCTGATGTCCCCAGCCAGCACCTGGCAAGCTAGATAATATTGCCTTGACCCTCTGGAGCATCTTCTTCCCATGAAGCTGGAGCTTTCACATCTATTCATTTCTTACAACATTCTCATCATGTACAAGGAGCAAGAATGATTCTCTCCTATTTTACAGGAGGATCTACGGTCACACAATAAATTCATGACAGCTAGAATGAGAAACAAAGTTTTTTGATTCTGAGGGCCAGGGTGCTTTGCCAAGAGAAAGGAGATTTGATGAATAACTTCCACTGCCAGACAAATTTTTCACACAACCCATTCTCCCTCATTCAACAAACATATTAAGCACTTACTCTGTGCAAATCACAGTATCCCTAAGGAAAACTAAACATTTAAGTCATGGTCCCTACCCTCATGAAGCTTATAGTCTAGTAGGGATATAAGACACCAATAGGGATAATTATAATACATAATATTACATGACAAGTATACTTACTAAACAGTGCTATGTGACACCTGAGGTAGGTTGTGGTAGCTTGAATCATCTAGGCACACTATCAACAAAGGCCCCAGAGCCAAGGAAGATGAAAAGTTTTTCCTCACCTTCAAGGTGATACTCATGTTCAACAGTTCAATTTGCATAGGGATAATCACAGGAAGCTCCTCATCCTCCAAGAAGGGCCCCAGGCCAGTGAGCACTGAAGTCAACAATTCCACACTGCCACCATGGAGCAAGAGACGAAGGAAACCACTCTTTGAAGCCAGAGGAGAGTGAACAGCAGCACAGGGTCCTACCTCGAATCGGAGGCCCACACCTGGCTTGGTTTGGCAAGTCTTCAGAGCTGGGGACTCTGGCAGAGAACACAGAAGGCAAATCACTCTGATGACCCTGCTAAGACCTATGCTCAGGACAAGAATGAATAACTTAGGAGCAATGCTTAAGACACAAGACCTTCTGCTCAATGAGATCTCTTGCTTTCTCAGGACTCTGGTTTCCTCATCAGTATAAACATACCCCCACAGAGAAACCAACATATCCTCACCTATTCTAAATTTTTGTAAGTTCCTCCCCGCCCCCCCCTTTTTTTTTTTTAAAAAAAAAAAAGGACAATGAATATTTAGGGATGGATCCTAGATGCTGATAAAGTTGAGAATGCAGATGCAGATGTTGATAGAAATGCAGACTAAAACAAGTCTACATCTGGTGTGTGTTCTAAATCTTCAAGGTGAAAGAAAAACATGGGAAAGGAATGAAAGGGGAAACCCATTAAAAATTCAGATCTGCTTCTGCCACAGAAATACGCCATCATTTTCCAGCTAAAAAGAGGTTTCCATGAGATTCTTCCTCCCCTGGGGGGCTTCCAGAGAGAATGAGAAGGCTTAGTACTGAGTATGATGCCATGGGAACACACTTCCCGTAAGGACAGATCACAATACATCACCATGTACATACAATGATAGAATAATTTGGCTTTTGTATTCATTAGCTCATTTGATATAATCACCCTAAAAGGCAGCCAGAGTGGGTTCTATTGTCCCAATTTTGTAGACAAGAAACATGGATATCAAAGAACTGAACTGAGGCCAGATCTAGAACCTATTCAAATGCCCTTTTTACTAACCTATCTCAGAGGAAAATTGCACTAATGACCCACCAGACAAATTCTTCTTAGAGCAGGAGTCACTCTTACCTGGGCACTGCTCATGCAGGAACTGCCAAAGCCTCACAATGCCAGGCTGATGGAGGGTTAGTTCCTCTGACTGCAGGGCCACAGCAAAGTCCTGATCTCGTGCTTCAATACCAAGAGCCACCTGGCTTACCTTTAGGACCAGAACTGATACCTGTAAAGAGAAGATCATCGAGGCCTGTGACTTACAGCCACCAGTGCTAATGGCCTATTCCTTACCCCTGAAGAAGAAATGAAGGACAACTAACCGGCTGAAGAATAGGGTCTCTCTTGCTAGGTGAAACTGAGCTATTCACCTCTGGAGATATTAGGCCATCATCATTCACTCTGGGGCTCTCTTGATTACTACTATCATCCAGTGCTGGTGGGAGTTGTTCTGGGGGTATTAATTCCAATCCAGACTCTGAAAAAAAAAAATATTTGGGAAGTGGCCTGGGGCCCAGAAGTCAAAAGATACAATCCATAACCTGAGTTGCTAAATAATTGAATGACTGGTGCCCTCTCTCCATAAGTCCCAGATTTTCTCTTAGTAACAAGAACAAAATACTAACAAACACATTTATGATGGTGTAAAGATAAAGTCTGAGGTATAATTTTTTTTTAAGGCAAATGGGGCTAAGTGACTTGCCCAGGGTCACACAGTAAGTATCAAGTGTTTAGTCTGAGGCTGGATTTGACCTCAGGTCCTCCTGACTTCAGGGCTGATGCTCTATCAACTGTGCCACCTAGTTGCCCCTCTGAGGTATAATTTCAGTCTTGTTCCACTACTAAGTTAAAAATCTGCCACTGCCATTTTTTTTAATAGCTGCAATCAATTTATTAAAAGAGATGATTGGTTAGGCATTTGCAATGGTGACTTCCACTTAGAAGTGATCTGTTTAACAATTTCAGAAGGACTTTGCAAATCAATAAGACGTTTGTGAATTCTCATCTGGAACTGATCCTAAGTCTTTGAACCTTCGCCACAAGGAGTTTTTCTAGCTGTGATTTGAAGGCTTAGTGGGCATTTGAACAGGTCCCTTCACTTTCAAGTTCTTTTCTTCAGCTCCTCTAATTAGGTCAGAGCACACTTTCTCAAGGATTTCACACTGCAGCTGGTGAGGGTGATCCGGATCTGGTGAATGGCCACTCGGGCTCCACAAGGGTCCTGCCGGTGTCTTTGAATGCCATGGCAGTGGCGCGGCTTCCTGACCGACTGATTCCTCGGTGCAAGTGAACAGTGGTGAGTCAGGAGGAGGAGAGGGAGGGACTGCCAGCTCCATGCGGCTGCAGGGGCGATACCTTCACCAAAAAGAGCTGCCATTTTTTAAGTTAAGAAAATTTACATGTTTTATGAAGTTTTAACTCTTGAATGCTGCTGTCTTGAAGTCACATAGGATGATCTGTCAGAGATGCATCTAGGCACTAGTGAGGACACGGATTCCCCTAACCTGCTTTTACTTACCAGACTCCAAAAGCATTACGAAGCTATCACTTCCATCACTATCCACTGAAAGCCTATCTTCAGGGCCACCACCATCCTGAGAGAGACCATCAAGTGATTGCTGGGACACTGTCCTCTTCATTGAGAAATAACGAAGCTTGGCAGCTCCTCCACTTGCTGAGGTTCCTCCCTCCTCCGCCTTGGCCATGAGCTCCCTGCTTCAAAAATAAAACATACAGGGCAAGACAATATATTTATTCCTCTCAAAGCCATCTACAGTGACAAGAACTAGACTTCATGTAGCACCCAATACAACACAATAGAGATCAAGGTTTTCTTCAATAGCTGCCAACTTGA